TAATTTTATCTTAATGTCATATAATAAAAAATTATAACCATAAATTATATGACCGAACATTATAAAAATTAATTAGGCCACTTTGGTGACTAACTAATTAATTTTACTTTAATGTCATATAATAGCAAGTAATTATAATGTTAACAAACTAACCCTTATAATTCATAAACATAATGGGAGTTTGTCAACTCAATCATCATCATCCAAGATGTTTGTTCCCAAATCAAATAGATGTCATTAAACCATACTCAACCATGAAACAAAATTTCGCGAGTCATGGATACTTACAGCCTCATCATATAGCAATTACTTACAACCTAATGAAAACTTTATGGGAAATTAAAAAACATAGCAACATTGATTTTCATGGAACTAATTCAACAAAACAATCATGATTATTTGTGTGGTTCCAGACATCAAATATCCTTTCTTTATTTTGATCTTTGAACATATATTGACTTGCGGATATCGATGCGGAAGTCACCAAAAATTAATTAAACAACATCAAAGAATACATCATCTTTCGTTGACGCAGATTACCATCAGAACACCAATTTAATTCGGCAACAATTCGATAAAATTTGTTCAATAAACATCATGGACAAAATAATCTCTCAACAATCATACAAACAAATTATTTATTCACAACACATGCTCTGATACCACATGTAAACTTCATCAAAGATCTTGAATAAATAATTTGGTGTACATATAATACTTACTTGATGCGGAAGACGACATAATTAGTGATCTTGATCTTGATGATCACAAAAGGCTTGATCGATTGTTAGGACTAAATTAGTTTCTCCCTCCTGTCCAATCTTAACGTAGCAGAAAAAGTGATGGGATTGTGACTGCGTACCCTAATAGGAGGAGAGAGGACTAATTTATATAGGGATGTCTTTAGATCTGGTACGTCCATCAAATATCCAGATTAATGGCTTAGATTTGTTTGACTATTAAATAAAGGTCTGGCCCAATAAGATAATTAAATGTGAGCCCAATGCTTTCGGGCCACATATTCTTACACCATATGTATATTTGCGTTAGTGGGAGGACTCAATCAAGGATATTTGGCTAAACTTCCCACATTTGTCTCATAAAATCTACGTGTTTTGTATCAGCATGTCTTCCTCAAACAACGTTAGTAGCCAGAACAATGAGGGAAACTCTCACCCTCATCAAGATATTACTCAATTTCTCTTGAACTTTTTTTGAAGGCCTCACTGAACTATTTGCTCGAGTAGTTCATAGTAACCCTCAAAATAATCCTCAACAAAATCCTATTCCAAAAAAATCCTCTTCAAATACACCTTTCATAATCCCAAGAAGACTACTCTGACGACCATCATGAGTCTCGTGACAGAGGTAAAGAAAAACAGAAAGGTGATTGTCAGACCGCGAGGGCATGGACAAAAGTCAGGCCCCCTCGAGGGCCAACATGAGCTCAAATGTCAAGTCGATGTTCAACCGGTTGGGCAACAAACAAGACGACCTCCGCTAACAGATCACCAAAATAATCATTGGCAATTTCCCTGAAAGCTTATTGTTATCCTCCTTAGTGTGAAGACGAACAACGAGGTCTTCAATACTCATTTCTTTCCTCTTATGCTTGAGGTAGTTCTTGAAGTCTTTCCAACCCGACGACAGCTTTACGATCACAATCACAACTTGAAACAACTCGCTCAGAGTCATTCATTCAGCATGAATGTCATGCAAGATCAGTTGAAACTCTTGCACGTGAGACACGACGGTATTCGAGTCGACCATCTTGAAGTCAAGATTTTTTCTGACGACGAATTTCTTCGCCTCGACATCTTCAGTCTTGTAATTCATCTTAAGGTAGCCCAAAGTTCCTTGGCAGAACCAATCGACCTATATTCATTGTACAAATCGTTACTCAGACCATTCAGAATATAGTTCCGGCAGTTCAACAACAATCAGGGGGTCGTCCTTCTGGTACTTAACCAACCTAAAGTGGATAGGTATATTTATTACCATAAAACTAATTCTCGGTGAGTGAGAAATAAATGATTAAAGTTAGTCATAAATGAGGCACGTAAAAATGATGACTGCAGGATTCGAAAGAATCTTATCCCACATTGAACTCTTAATTGAGATACTCTCTTTATCATATCAAAAGAGTTGTATGTTGCAAGACTCGTAACATTAACAAAATTATGTACAAAGTATTGGTGATGACTTCGGCCACAGGCGTGCACGCCTTTCAGCCAGCTTGTCTCGACTTGGTTGTGGGCCCAAAGACTTGGGCCTTGGACGGTGTGGGCCGATGTCGGGCTTGGGTATTGGGTCAAACCCCTATATTTTTCTTTTTGCTGCAACTTTATTTGCAATTGAGGCCCAAATTGAAATTTAAACCAAGTTGGATTTGGATTTGAGTTTTGACCAAACAGATGTGACCGTTACTAGGTTGACTGAACCTGGACACATGACCTTCCACTTGACAATTTTAGTTGTTATAAGGTGGATTGAAGGTGGGTTAGGATAAAATATTTTGCCCATTTACAACAACCGTCAGTGGGCTGTCACTGATTGGGTTGTTACAAGCTGAAGATCAGAGGCCTTCCACTTATGTTAAAAGTCTTATAATAGGACACGGTATAAAGTTGCAGGGAATACTTACAACATCTGATCATCTGCATACTCCATAGCATCACACATCATAACGTATAGTTCTCAGTTCTCAACTTCGTTTAAGTTTGTCGGAGCTCAGAAGTCTGTTGTGCTACAGCCATCGAGACGTCAGTCGTTGTATCTTTGTGGACGAGATGCCTAAACCTGTTAGCACATTACGAGTCGCTTTCGTGTTGCGTAGAGCAACACTCGCCTCAACTATTGTCTTTCCGTTTTCATTTTGTAATAATGTTTTATGTTTTTGGTTCAACTTGTAAAAACTGGACCATAGAATTCACTACATATGTTTATTCGTGCATTCAAAACACTCAGATTGTAACAATGGCAAGACGAATATCCAACCTACTTAACCGATAGCATCCACCGAAGATGATCCCAACATTCAAGAAACTCAAAAAAGCAATAACAGTCGATCAACATCGTTGTGCTACTCAGAATTTTGGACTTTTCTACATAATTTAATTTATTTCGAATAAAATATTTATGCATAAAAAAATCGATTAAAACCGAATCAAACCTAAGTTTGTTCACAAATGGTTTTCCAACATTCTACACCATTACTAGAGGTGGCCAGTCAGCGGCTGAGGCCCGGCCCGGCCCACCGGGTCGTTGGCCCTCCAACACATGGCCTACGACCGGCCCGCAAAGAACCAAGGGCCGGTTATATGAACCGGTCCGAACCGCCGGCACCGACCCGACAGTTCACGGGCTGGTATGACCCGTAAAAGAAATTAACAATGTGGCCCGTCGTCTCACCCGTGGTCCGACCCGGCCCGGCCCAGACCGGACCGGCGGGAATTAAATAAAAAAAATGAAGTCGGGACCGAACCGCGACCTTAAAGATCCGGTTCAACGAACAGGGCCTTAGGGGCCGGTTCAGGACCGGTTCGGCCCGTGAACATGTTTAACCATGACTCACTTTGAATTGAGTATACAACATTCTAAAAAAGTTAATAATTAATTAATTAATTTTGACAATTGGAAATTTATTTTGAATCGTCATTAACGATTGATCACATTATGCACACAAATTTCCATCAACTCTTTTTTTTGTGGACGAATCACTCCGGCGTCGCCACACAACAAGGCAGCAAAATATCTACGAACAGCTCGCCGGCAAAAACCCTCCAGAGGCTGTACAAAAGCGAAAGGTGAAAGGCCCAAATTCTCTGCAATTTCGAATTTTCCAATTATGTGAAGATATAACCACATGTTAGTGTCTCTACCCTCCGGTTAGCTCGTAAATGCTTCTTTAATTTTCCCTAAAAAATTATGGATTTTTTCTTTTCCTGTTCTTTCTCGTTATAGTTTGTGCGCAGGTGATTGGTTTTATTCTGGGCAAATCTTTATTATGAATTTTCGGGCAGCACCATGTTTGATTATTGTTTGTTTGGGATGTCGTTCCTTTCGTTAACCCAATTTCTGTCTCAACTGGGTTTTCTAGATTTCATCGTAAACATGTGACTTTTTGTTAAATCTTGGATAAACAGTGCTCCTTAGAAACCAAATCTTGTTATAGTGCAGAATGTGTGCCTGTTTGTGTGTTTCTCACTTTGTTTCTGTCTGGAAAATTTACTCATCAATGGTAATGTAGCTGGGAAATTGGAATGTAGATTAGTTCCATGAAGCAGATGGGGTATCTGGGGTCTGAGTTTTAGCTTTGGTACTTATAAGTACTCATATGCTTTGTTTTTCTATAAATTGTCTGAGTTGAAGTCGGGCATTCGGTTGGATCCATGAGTAGGGTGTTTGAAAGTGTTTGCAAACTCTAGAGAATAATGTAAATTTCTTTCCAGTCTCGGCTTCGGTTTTTCCACTGAGAAGCTTAGAAGCACTCTGTTGAGTTTGTGACACTCCCTAAGCCTGCCAGGAAAAATATAAGCTCTATCTTGATGGTTCTGTATTGTTCAGTTTCTAATATTCGAAACCATCGACTTTGATTGTAATTTGTAATTTTCCAAACCATTTGTTTCTAACTTTCCAGAATATGATTTTGTTTCTTGTTTGTTATTTTCCAAATTATGACTTTGTTTACGCAGCTTTTTTCCGATTCTTATCTCCAGTCACAAGCAATCCAAAACTTTGAATCTGAGTTTGAGTTTCGTAATAATCATGTCTATGAATATCCATACCTCTTACTGAATCTGCTGTAGCATTTAACTTCCTGATCATTTTTCTTTTTCTTTCTTTTTTGTTCGTCAATATTGATTCTAACTTTTAAGTTGGTTTACATTCATTCCCAAAAGAAATGGTACCACAGCAGACGGCGTAGAGGACCAAACCAAACAAGCCCGATAATCCGTCATATTTCCACTCACCTCTTGTGAAGTAAGAATCACTAATAAATGGGAGCCAGATTGAGCTTAACCAATCACAAACCGACCCCAAACGACCCACTCGAGGCTTCCCTATCGAACAAGTCCCGCAAGAGACAGAGGACATTCCCCATCCTCTGGGACAAGAATCCCCGCCTCATCCCCAACCTCCCGGATGAGATATCCCTTCAGATCCTTGCCCGTGTCCCGCGCATATGCCACCTCAGCGCCAAACTCGTCTCCCGCAGCTGGAAATCTGCTCTGACAAGCACTGATTACTACACACTGAGAAAAGAACTCGGCACGACTGAGGAGTGGCTCTACATCCTGACAAAACACGATGGCGAGAGGCTCGTTTGGCATGCCCTCGACCCTGTCACTGCCACCTGGCAGCGCCTGCCTCTCATGCCGAACATGCCTTGCGAGGACGGGCCTAGAATGGGCCTGTGGAATGTTCTCGGATCGAGCGTCATAGCCGATGCCATCAGAGGGTGGCTCGGTAGAAAAGACCCGTTGCAAGAAATCCCGTTCTGCGGCTGCTCGATCGGGGCCGTCGCCGGGTGTCTGTACGTGATCGGCGGGTTCTGCCGCTCCTCGGCTGTAAAATCCGTGTGGCGTTACGAACCCGTCACAAATTCATGGGCCGAGGTTGCCCCCATGTCAGTCGAACGGGCCTACTGCAAAACGGGCGTTCTGAACGGGAAACTCTATGTTGTCGGGGGCGTCACGCGGGGCCGGGGAGGATTGCTTCCCCTCCAGTCGGCTGAAGCCTACGACCCGTGCAAAGGCCTTTGGGCCGAGGTCCCGAGCATGCCCTTTTCAAAAGCCCAGATTCTCCCGACAGCCTTTTTAGCAGACTTACTCAAACCGATTGCCACTGGCATGACTTCGTACAGGGGGAAACTGTACGTCCCACAGAGCTTATACTGCTGGCCGTTTTTTGTGGATGTGGGCGGGGAGGTTTATGACCCGGAATCGGGCTCGTGGGCTGAGATGCCCGCGGGTATGGGTGAAGGCTGGCCCGCGAAGCAAGCGGGCACAAAATTGAGTGCGGTTGTGGAGGGGGAGCTTTATGCGCTGGACCCATCGAGCTCGCTTGATAGTGCCCAGATCAAAGTGTACGATAACGAGGAGGATTCTTGGAAGGTGATTGAAGGGGAAGTGCCTGTTCGTGACCTGGCAGACTCCGAGTCACCGTATTTGCTGGCGGGCTTTTTGGGGAAGCTGCACGTCATCACAAGGGATGCTGACCGGAATATACTGGTCATGCAGGCTGACAGGCGGAACGGGCCTGATGTGGGCCCGTCTGGCGATGCCTCATTGTTGGGGAGTATGTGGAGGGTTGTCGCGAGAAAGAGCGGCTGTGGGTCGGCCGAGCTAGTTAGCTGTCAGATTCTTGATGTCTAGGTATGGTGCGGGACGAGGCCGGTATATTTCTTACTTTATTATATATATATATATATATATATTTTATTAATATGATATTATTACATGTGGCAATTGGAGAGTGGTTCGTGATTTTATGCGTTTATGATTATGTCTACTACGGTAATTGTGTATGTGTGTATAGTAGTATCTTGTTTTGGAGGGAAGTTGGATATATGTGGATTTTGAGAATGGGGGAAAATGTGTTAATGGGTTCTTGGATGGTGAATTTTGTATTTGTTGTTGATTTTCCGGTGCCAAATATAAGGCCCCGATGAGGAAAACACGAATATCAAGTTAATACATACCAGCGTTTGATGTATGTGCATTTTTTATTTATTTTTTTTTTTTTTTGTACAACGAGCCTAAAGGACTAAGCTAACACTCTACGAGGTTAAGACACCCCGATAGTGTCATGATCAAGCCAAGCTCCTTGGTGTGGTTGTTTGTCTGCGGCTGGAGGAGGATGTGAGTCTAGTATTTCTGGTTTTCGTGTGTTGTTTATGTGTTTTTTCTTAAGTAGCCTTGTTGGTTTATTTATTTATTTTTATTATTATTGTTATTTTTTTATTATTTTAAGCTTGATTCTCCCATGGTGGAAGTATATATAGTTTGTTTGTGTGGTAGGTGTGTTAGCGTAGTTCTTTTTTCTACTATGTAGGATATCTTCGATTCAGCTAGATGGTTGTTTGACTCATTTTAATTGCTTTCTAGTTGTAATTATGTGTTAAATTTAGAGAAAATTACAATTTTCGTCATTTGTGTTACACGAGTCAGTTCTTCATTTGATTGTGTTTCATCTTGTACCTATACAAAATAGGTTAAAAATGTGTGCTTCTCTTACATAAAATAGGTTACCATTTTGTATTGACTCATTGGAATAGTTTCAAGTCACTGAAAATTTCATGTCATCCACGGTGCTGAAATTGTTGATTTGGCCAAGTGAAGTGTAGTTAGTTAAATGATCCCTTGTGTCACAGCGCTAGCAGGCCCAAATTTTTCACCCGATCATCGTCTTGTGCGGCCTAATCTTCATGACTAGTCATGCTCAATTGCCCTGACAAAATCTTCGATAGTCCATACAAGTATAGTTTGGTGACAGAGCAAGTAAATAACAAGTGACACCAGCACATTTACGGGCTCACGCCCAACCATCGGCTATAATTACTCAATTGGACAATTAAAATGTCATGGCTCGCACACACATGATACAACACGCAACTCAAGCTATCTTGTGCACGTAGGCACACTTTAGTACATTTTTGCATTACTCATGTATCAAGGGACGCCGCACCCGACCTTACACTCCTATCTAACGTTCGATAAATCTAGTGTCGACCTTATACACATTGGTCTTACACATGCTACAAACACTTCATGTATGCCAACACATGCTTTGCTCGAACACTCGTACTAGCACCTTGCTCACACGGTCACTCCTTCCTCGCATGGTCTTTCGTTGCCCTCGTGTTTGGTGCTCTTGTTCACTCTTTCGAGTTCAGTCACTGAATTGAGCTCCCTCCTTGGGACTCTAGCTTCCGAAGCTCTTGGCTTACTCCAGTGCCCTCGACTGTCTCGTAGATCACTCGACTTTTTCTCATCGAGTCCAACTTGCCTAAATTGAGGCACGCCTGACTTATATAAAGGCCAACGGGTTGCACGGCCCAACCCTAACCGGCAGTCCATATGTCTAGCAATATCTCGGTAGTTAACTCCCCCACGACCCGTACCCACATCTCCTTGATGCCAACTTAGCTTTAGCAGCATGCGGGTGCAAACCGCCATTGCTTATCTTACCCGAACTCCCATGCAGGTCATAACCGTCTCGGCCACGTGTACCTAACAACCGTATAGCCACGTGCCTCGTTTGTTCTACTTTGATCCTACTCAGTCGCGCCATCTCGATGGGATAAGACCGCCTTAAGCCATGTTTGACCATTTAATTGTTTAGTCCACATGCAGTCTGCATGTCTTTTCAAAATCTCAATGGCTTAGACGTCGCGCCAACACTCACACATGCCCGTCGAATTGCATCATAAGAAGCCCTCTTGGCCCGAACCATCAAAAGTAAGACCGTGTCTCACTTAGCTAGCCAAGTCCGTCATCCGAGACCATCAGTGCGCATAGGCGTGCCCTGCCCGCGCCTTACTCGACAAGAATTCGAGGTATCACATTGTCTCACACAGTAGCGTCTCTGAGTGAAGCCCACGTTCCTGTAAGGCCATGCACAACCCCCGACAACCGTCGTCTGACTGAGCCTTCGACTTTTACCCCACCCCATGATTCAGTATTTTTCGACGGGACACCCACGATCCGAACTGACTCCATGTACGTCAAGACCCCACACTAAGTCTCGACCCATATGCACGTGCATCTCGCATGATCCGACGCAACACCCTTTTGAGAGAACCACCTTCCCCAAGAATGGAAAAATGAGAATGTCGACTCTAGCCACTCGGGCATTGATAGCTGAGTCTCGCACAAGTCTTCGTTGCCCCCACAAAGACTCGAATGAACTCCACAGTCAACCTAAGAACACACCAACTTGGCCTTTCAACTTAGAATCCTCTCCACGTTAGCATGTGACCTCGTAGTCATTAGTGCATCCTTTACTGCTCGACGCAAAATCTCTCAAAATCGCACCTCGTCATACCTGGATGTGCTAAGGGGTCGCGCCCAATCGGCCTCACACTTAGGGCTGTAACAAACCTCCCCCACTTTAATTCCTAGACGTCCTCGTCGACTCGAAAAGAAGCTCCTTGTTTGCCTCAAACCTTGCCAACTGCCTCATGAACTCCCTTCAACCTCCTTGCTGATCACGAACAGAAATATGCAACAAGTATCTGGCTCCACCAAATCCCACTAAATCATTGCACCAAGGTACAAAAATTAAGCAAGACCTAAGTCATCATCCACTCACAAGCCGTAATTCCTCATGGACTCTTTCTTTTCGAAAACGCAACTGGATAACAACTCATATCCTTTGTGTGATTTGACAAGTCCATCACGAACCCGTTACTTTGCTCAATTAGGCTCAGCCGTAAAGCCTTAACTCAACTAGGTATAGTTACGAGGACATGCACGTGCTTCCCGCAAACACATTGACGAACTCCCTCCTAAGTTAATAACTTGGGTCAATTCGGCCTAGCCGGAAGGCCGATGTAGTGTCCTTCTTCAGACACTCGACAAACTCCTTGTCTCAATTAGAATCAGCCGTGAAGCCATAAGGTGTGTTCTCCGTGGACACTCAATAGACTCCGACTTAGATCCGTCCTTTGCTCAATGAGGCTCAGCCACTAAGCCATAAGGTGTATCTTCCACTAGCACATGACGATCTCCATCTTGGATACATTACTTGGCTCAATTAGGCTTACACGCGAAGTCGTGGCTCGTCTATGAAGAAACAAGTGACTCACTCAACCACTCATGCCTAGGCGTCCTCGACCATCACAAAAACTTCGTGAACATTATCATCCCACACGCCTTAGTTCATTGGACTTCAACATTCAGATGCACCAGTGAATTCAGACCAACCCACCCTCATCGTCTCATGCACTGCCTCTCACCAGTTTGGCCATCAACTTTGGACAACCTTTCATCTTTCTGTCAACATGAACAAGAACTTGCCTCGACTCCAGTCCATCACTGTTGGTTGTTTTAGAAATCACGCGAGGTGTATCATACAACTCCCCTCATCGGACTTCTCTCGACCATGCCACCATGATTTTTTTTACTCTTATCCATCTTCAACGAGTCCACCTCGAGTCAGAAACGTCAAGCACCCCATTTTAAGGCACTCGACGTAAGACATCACCTAAGCAGACCGCTTACTCTTTGCTGCTGCAACTCGGCCTGGGCCTCTCGCAATTAAGCCATCACACGAAAACTCTTTCTGCTCGCACACATCTCGCATATTTCATGCATCAAGGTCCGCACCTTGACGAACCACGTCGGTCTGCATCTTTTCAGGGCATCACCCTCGCAAACACCTTTGCAAGGAAGGAACTTGTTCCCCCTCGACTCCCTCTACAGTGTAAACACGTCTTGATATGCCCTGATTCACACTCGCGCCACACTACGCCCTAGCACGCCCACTAGAGTTCCGTCCTCTGACAAGACAAGTCCGTCATTGACATCTCGTCGTTCAGGACACTTCGGCCACAAGGAATTCCCTCTCCAAGACCTTTGTCTTGGGACCCATGACGTTCGTCAGATTAAATTTCACGAGACCGAGAAATAAGATTTTAGTGAGGAATTTGGTGAATAGTATGAGGATAAAGGTTATCAGGATGATTATTTTGAAGAACTTGAGAGAAAAGATCAGTTAGACCTTTGACAAAGGGTGGATTTAAAAAAATGTCGACACCATCTGGGTGTGGGGAAGAATTATCATTATGGTGGCTAGAACTGTGGTTGGATTTGGACATATGTTTTTTAAGGGAGATTCACTGGAATTTCTAATGTAGCCTTCATTTTAATGCTAATTTGTTGACGATCGATCTCCAACTATTTTCGATACGAAACTTAGGATGTTGTAAGGAGTGATTAATGGATAGATTGGGTGACAATTAGATTAGAATTGGGTTAAAAGTGCAAGAATATGAAGAGCACACATAATTTGCCGACCTGTTGGGAGATCGACAATGAGAGTGAATTTTTCGAAATATGATTGAGAGTATTTTGAGTGGGCTTTGTAGAAGATGATTGCATTCATGTTCTTATGAGGTACTAAACGCCTCATCTATATGTGGAAAAACTAAACTACAATAATGGCAGTATGCCACCTTAGGGGCTAGATGTCGCCATGTGTTGCCATGCAAAAATGCGAATTTTGAGGACATAACATGCATTTTGACCTTTCATGACAAGACCGGTTCGGTGATCGACTTACCGATTCAGTTGTCAGAGGACATTCATACTCTTCAAAGAGATTGAGGGTGGCCTGTTGAGAAATTGGCATTTTTCATGCGGGAGATTGGCAC